CATGTCCCGTCGCAGCCAGCGTCTTGTCACCACGCGCTATTACCCCGGGGACGATGATCCCCCGGCCAGCAGCAGCAGCTCCCTGCTGGGGAGCCAGCAGCATCCCTTCAAAGAGAGCACCAGCAGGGCAGTGGGGTGCAGGGGATCCCCCCCTTCCAAAAGCAGCCAGGGTCCTCCATCCCACACCGTGGATCAGGCACCTTCCTGGAGGGTGGGGATATAAGGGGGGTTTGCAGAAGGAGGCTGTGGGCCTGGCGTGGCTGCTGGCCAGCATGGCACCTGCTACCCCAGCTCTGGCAAAAGCCCTGTGCTCCCCACCTCCTCTGCGTCCCCCTGCCCTGGCACAGCAGGCTGCCGTGGGTGGCTTGGGGTGGCTTCTTGCCTCCTCCCAGCTGTGGCTGCCTCCGGCGTGATGGTGGGAGGGAGGTGTGCTGCAAGTGCCGGGCCGGAAAACCGCAGCAGTGCGAGCGGAAGCGGCACGGGCAGCTGCCCGGGGATGGGCGGCGGGGCCTTTCGCAAAGCAGCAGTTGCACCCCCAAAGCACACCGCCCTCTGGCACGGTGGGGGGGCAGGGAGGGCAGGGGGAAGCGATGCTGACTGAGGGATTGAGATGAGTTCCCCGTCTCTGCCCTAGGGGCGCACCACGGCACCCCCCGTGCACCCACCCCGCCTCATAACCACGCGTGGCTGATGAACCTGTTCTCACCCCTGGCAGGATGATCAGGAGGAAATCGAGCAGCACCAAGCGCCTCTCGCCTGCCCCCAGCACCCAGACCTCCTACTACAGCGAGTCCATGATGAGTGAGTCCTACCTCGGGGGCAGCCGGGGCCTTGCTGCCCTGGGCAGCTCTGTGCTGGATGATGACATGGACAGCAGAACCTACTGGGGTGAGCCCTCCCTCCTGCAGTAGCTGGGGACCTTCCTGGGCACAGGATGGGTTCTGAGGCAGCTCCCTGTTCTGGTTGACCAGGTTACCCCACGTGGGGTTGACAGTGGGTGGTGTCTCAGCAGGACTCTTGTGTTTTGGGGGCAGGTGGGGAGCTCTCCACCAGGAGGAGAAGAGGCACAGGAGACACTGAGTCCAGTAAGATCAACGGGCTGCTGGAGAGCAAGACGTACGACACATATGCCTCTTCGTCTGGGTACTCCTCAGAAGATGACTATGCTGGTAGGGATGCACTAGTCCCTCTGTGGTGGCAGAGATGCTGGGGAGCATGTCCTCAGTGAGGCTAGTCTGGGGTTTGAATGTCCCCAGGCTGCTTCCAGTTCCCCTCCTGGTGCACCGCCCACCAGGCAAAGCCTTCGCCCTGTACAGTGCGCAGGTGTGCGTTCTTTGTTTGGTGACTTACTGCCTTACTGCTTCCTTTCCAGGTCACTTTTACTCAGGCCAGAGTAGCTCTGGGTCACGGCTGAGGACTGCAGCTTCCCGTGTGGGCTCCTTCCTCTGGCAGGTGCTCACTTCCCCAGGTGAGGGGGAGGGTTGGTGGGGGCGTTTCTAGCAGCACCTTTCTTCCTTGCCAGCATCTTCCCTCCTCATGTGCTGTTCCCTAATTGGGTGGAGGTGTTTTATCTCCCTGCTTGATCTTCCTTGGGGATGAAGGGGACATAAGAAGGACATGGAGCTGTTGGAACAAGTCCAGAGGAGGATCATCCACAAGGATGATCGGAGGGCTGGAGCACCTCTGCTATGGAGACAGGCTGAGAGAGTTGGGTTTGATGAAGCTGGAGAATGGAAGGCTCCAGGCAGACCTTATAGTGGCCTTCCAGTACCTGAAGGAGGTCTACAGGAAAGCTGGGGAGGGGAATTTTTACAAGGGCATTTAGTGACAGAACAGGGGAGAACAGTTTCAAATTGACAGAGAATAGGTTTATATGAGATTTGAGGAAGAAATTTTTGACTGTGAGTGTGGTGAGACACTGGCACAAGTTGCCCAGAGAAGCTGTGGCTGCCCCCTCCCTGGAAGTGTTCAAGGCCAGGTTGGATGGTGCTTTGAGCAACCTGGTCTGGTGGGAGGTGCCCCTGCCCATGCAGGGGAGATGGAACTAGATGGTCTTTAAGGTCCCTCCCAACCCAAACCATTCTGTGATCTCTACTGGGACCCCTCCTGAGGCTTTGCTTTCTCTCCTGGCAGTGCGGTTTGTGGGGTGGCTCTGCTCGGGGCTGGCAGCCGCCTGGCACCGCCTCGCCGGCACAGCTCCCCGCCTTGGTCGCGTCCCCCTCTCCAGGTGAGTGTGGTGGCAGAACACCGGGATGGGGGAGGTGTGGGGAAAACCTGCAGGACTCTAGGGAGGGGGGTGCCCTGCAGAGCCCAGCACACGTGGGTTGGGTGTCTTGTGCCCAGCTGGGCTTTGCTTTCCCCCTGGCCCCCATCCAGGGGAGTGCTGTGGTGGGGGAAGTCGGCTGCTGTCCTACAGGCATCTCTTTCTTCTGGCTCCAGGCGCTACCCGTGGCTGAAGAGGTCGCTGCTGCTGCTGCTGCTCCTCCTGTTCCTCGCTGCTGCTGCCTACGGTGAGTGGGCCCAGCTCAATCTGTTGCCCTGAGATCGGGGGCAGTGCAGAGCATCCCGGTGCTGTCCTGGGAGGATGGGAGGGCTCTGCACTCCAGTGCTCGTGACTGGTGATACCCTGGTGCCTCTGCACCCCTACTGGTGACTCCAAGTGATGCTGATGGCTGAGCCTTGGCAGTCTGCCCTCTCCCCTGATATGATCCATTAATGGCCTGCTGTTTTAACCTTCTTGTCTCCCTGTGTGCCCAGGAGCTTGGTACTTCTACCCATATGGGCTGTCAACACTCAGCCTCCCTGTGTTCCCGTGGTGGGGAGCTGGAAAGCTTTCTTCCTCTGATGTGCCTGCAGGAGGGGACCTGACTGTGTTGGACCAGGTAAGTGTCAGCATAGGGGTGATGGTGGCCCAGGTGGGGTGGGCACTGCATGTGGAGAGCCAGGACAGTGTGATCCATGGCTGAAGGAGCCCTTCCAAGGGATAGGGAAGTGGTGGAGGACAGGAGAGATAATGGCTGCATGCTGGTAGAAATGGATCCCCTTTTGACCATCTCACTCTCAGGGTGTCCCAGGGATGGAGCAGGGGCAACATCTGCCCTCTCCTGAGAAGCAGCAGATTAATAAGGTGCCACTCACCCTGGGGACTGTGTGGCCTGGGTCACCTTTGCAGGGATACCAGTGGAACAGGCAGCCCCCTGGGGTTCCACAGCTCCCTGGGGATCTGCACCATGCCCTGCCTTTGCCGCTGCAGGGGGAGCACCGGCTCCTGGTTCGCTTCCGGGCCCTGGAGAAGCGCTTTGAGGCACTGGAGGCCGAGGTGTCGCGGTGGGAGCTGCGGCAGGGGGCAGCAGCAGTGTCGGCAGGGGGAGAGCCCCCCCCGGGGGACATCCTGGCACTGCTGGAGGGGCTGGTGAGCCGCCGGCATGCGGGGCTGAAGGAGCATCTCCGCGCTGATGTGACCAGCCTCATCCAGGTGAGGAGTGTGGGGGGCATGTGGGGAGATGGGGCCATGCAGGGTCAGGGTCTGATGTTCCCCCCTCCTGTTCTTCACCTTGCAGGGTGAGCTGGATGCCCTCCGAGCCCAGGTGCAGAGGGATTTAGACGGGCGCCTGGGGAAGATGGCACAAGCCTCTCAGGTAAGGGGCTGAGCGTGCGGGCAGGGCATCCTTGCCGCTGGCATCACAGGTCTCACCTTCTGTCCCTTCTCCTGGCAGGAGATGGAGGCGCGTTTGCTGAAGCTGAACTCGGAATGGCAGAGGTAATGCTGGCTGACTGGTCAGAGCCACGGCTCGGAGACAGGCGGCTGTCTCTGGCAGGCGGAGACAGGTCGAGGGTTAGGGAGGGGTTGCCAAGTCTGGTTTGCTCGGGGCAAAGGAGAGGTTGAGAGATGCAGTCGTGGGTGGAAAGGGAGGGATAGATATGTGGGAATTGTCGGCAAGAAAGTGCCCTGGCTGGCAGCAGGGCTCAAAGGGCCATCACAGCAAATGACATTCACCACCAACATTTGCATCAGCTTGGGGAGTGCGGCCCTTCAGCCGAGGGGTGAGCTGGGGATGCTTTCCCATGGGATGCAGTAAAAGAGGCCACTGCCACAGGAAGTAAAAGCATTTGAGGCTGGAGAGAAGCTTGAGCGTAGGTGATGGGGGATGAAGCTTCCCCCTCGTGTTTACAGAGGGAAGCTGGACTATTGGTGCACTCTTTTGTTGTCTTTCTGTTGGGCCAGCTCTGTGCAGGAGGGCCTGCAAGGCAGTTTCCAGCAGGAGGTGGGCAAGCTGGAGCAGGAGGTGGCAGCACTGAGGAGAGAGCTGGCTGGCCTCAAGTCAGACCAGGAGGTGATGGGGAAGCACATGGAGGGGATGCTGGAGCAGCTGAAGGTGGTGCGGGCTGACGTGAGTCCTCCATCCCCAACCTGTTCCCTTGGCAGAGGGAGGCTTGAGGGTCCCTGCCACGGGGCTCAGCTCTGTCCCCACTGTTTCAGGTGGAAGCACAGTTCCCGGCGTGGATCAGCCGGTTCCTGTCGCAGCCCCAGCGGGGTGGTGCTGCCAGCCTTGTCTTCCAGCGGGAAGATTTGCAAGCAGAGCTCCAGGCCCTGGAGCGCAAGATCCTGGCCAAAGTCCTGGAGGACCGGAGGCTGTCGGCCCGGGATGCTCAGGGTGGCATTGGAGTGGCCCTGCAGCAAGGGGGGACCGCAGGGGTGACAGAGGAGGTGAGGTCTGGGCTGAGCCCTGGGGACATGGTGGCAGCCACAGGCATGGGATGGGGTGGTGGGGACCTGGCACAAATGGCTGAGACATGGGGGGCAGCCCTTACAGCTTGGAACATCGATCCAGGGCTCACATCCCATCTGGCAAGAGCATCCCTGAAACTCCTCCATCTCTTCTTTGCCACCAGTCTCCCCTGGGCTGTCCCTGCACCCTGCCCTAGAAGGGGTCATAGGCGGCCATATCCACATGTCTGCAAGGCTTCTGCTGTCTTAAAATCTAGTCTTCTGCTTGTGCATCTTTCACCCAGAAGTGGGGCAGGTGCCAGCAAGGCATCCATGAGCATCTCGCTTACCTCCCTCCTTCAGCAGTGCCGTGCAGTCATGTGGGACAAAGCATTTAAAAACAGAATGACACCAGGGGGAAAAAATGAGCCTGCTTGCTTTGGAAAGAGTTGTTTGGCAATTCCCCATGGAGGGGAGGGATCAGGAAGGATTAGCAGTCCTCGCAGCCTGTGCAGTCTTTGTGCCTGCTGTAAAGTTTAGACCCAGAGCAGTGCTGCAGGGTCCCAGCTCCTGGGGATGCTCTGGTTGGCTCCCACTGCCATGTAAGATTTTCCAGATGGGGATCCCATGGGATAGGGTAGGTGGGACAAGCTGATGATGCCTGGGAGGGTGGGGTAAGATATTGGGTTATGTCTGGTACCCACCAGCAGGTCTGGGGCTGGGCTGCCCTTTGGGATGGGCGAGCTCAGAGAGCCTGGGTGCTGCCCCTTCATTGCACAGCACTTTGTATTTTTAGCAACATCTAACGAGGCTTCCCAGCTGAGTGCGTGTGCTCTCATTTTTGCCGTGGTGATTCATCCTGTGACTGTTCTTTGGGAAGGTCCTTGAGTCCTCCCTGTCCCCAGAGACTGGAGGCAGGTGGGGAGCAGGACACCCGCCCTGTCCCTTCACCCCTCTCAGGCTCTTTGCTCCCACCACAGCAAGTCCACCTTATCGTTGAGCAAGCCCTGAAGCGCTACAGTGAGGACCGTGTGGGGATGGTTGACTATGCCCTGGAGTCAGCAGGTAGGTGGGGGGCAGCTCTTCCTCTCCTTGGGATGAGCCAGCCATCCTATGGAGGGTTGCCATGGGGCTGACCCTCTGCTGTCCCCTCTCCACCTCAGGGGCCAGTGTCATCAACACCCGCTGCTCTGAGACTTATGAGACACGGACGGCGCTGCTGAGCTTGTTTGGCATCCCCCTGTGGTACCAGTCACAGTCCCCTCGTGTCATCCTGCAGGTGGGCGTGCTTGGGGTGACACCCCCCTTGGGGGGGCTGGGCTGGTTCTCACATGGGCTTGGTGGCTTTTCTTGGGCTGTTGCTGCAAGCAAGCAGCCAGGCAGGTGTTGGGGTTTGAGGGGGTGGGGGAGTGGTGTGTGCAGAAATGGCAGTGCTGGTGATAAACCTTGCTGGTGTCTTGCTCCTGCACTTGTAGCCAGATGTCAACCCTGGGAACTGCTGGGCATTTCGTGGGTCCCAGGGCTTTGTCATCATCCGCCTCTCTGCCGTCATCCGCCCCACGGCCGTGACACTGGAGCACATCCCAAAAGCCCTCTCACCCCAAGGGACCATCCCCAGTGCCCCCAAGGACTTCGCTGTCTACGTGAGTGCCCTGGCCAGGACCTAAGGGAGAAGTGGGGGGGACATGGTGGGAGGTTGCTGTGTTGGAGGGAGGGCTAGCAAGCCCCCTGCCTGGCTGTGGGGTACTCTGGGGGTAGGTGTTATCTGGAAGAGGAGGAAGAAGCAGTACTCAGGGGGAGAGGGGGAGCACCAGGGTTTTGGGAAAGAGGGGATTGAGTAGGTGTAACTCATGGTCTTCCACCCCATCCTCCCCTACTGGCCCCCATCCCCACTTGTCCTTTTTGGCCTGAAAGAGCAGGAGTGGGGGCCAAGTGTGCATATGTCTCCTTCCACCCTGGGTGTGCTCATCACCTCTGGTTCTCCCTTTCTGCCTCCCTGCCCCTCCCATAGGGTTTGAAAGAGGAGAGTGAAGAGGAGGGGTATCTCCTTGGACAGTTCACCTACAGCCATGATGGTAACCCCATCCAAACATTCTCCTTGGAGGTAAGTACTTTGCTATTGAAGCACTCAACCCAGAGAGCAACAATGGGACTCCTGGGGTCTCTGAGCCCTTGTGAGCTCTCAGAAGCTCAGGATTTTCCTTCCTCCCCTCCCCAAGGGTGATGCAGTGGACACATACCAGCTGGTGGAGCTCCGGGTGCTGAGCAATTGGGGTCACCCTGAGTACACCTGCATCTACCGTTTCCGCGTGCACGGGGAGCCAGCACACTGACCTCCGGCTCCCGCGTGGGATGAGGATGCTGCCGGTGCCGACAGCAGGAGGGGGATTCGTCCGGTTTGCCGCTTCGCACGTAGAAATCCTGGGATGTGCCAGCAGCCTCCCCGGGAAGCTGCTCCCCTCTGGGGAGGAGAAGAGCTGATGTTTAAGGGGTGAGGCTTTCGCTCTTCCATGGACCCGGGTGGCAAGGCAAGAGCATCCCAGTGGGTCCTAGCGCAGCCTGGCTTGTTTTCAGCGCCTGTTGGACATTTTAACTTTTTAAGCTAATTTTTTTATCGGGTCTGCGCAGCCCCTCGTCCTCCCTGTTGTCCTGCTCCTCTCTGATGGTGCTGGGGCTTGGGAAAGGGGTATGTAACTTTGCCATGTGCTTCACGTGGGCTTGGGCACGTTGTGGCGTACGGGACCGCGGTGACCGGCTCGGTGCTGCCCGAGAGGGTGGGAGCCACCAGTTGTGGTTGAGTCTCTCCCCTTCATGTGGGGTCATTTCTCCTGCCTTGCTGTTGGTTTAGGTAAAGCTCTCCAGGCCTCCGATGCTTGGCTGGTAAAGGGGAAACAAGACAGTATTAATGAAGTATTAACATAAAACTAACGGTTCGGGGCAGCAGGAGGGGAGAAATTGGGCACGTGGTGGTGGTGGGGCCTGCCCCGCTAGTGGCTGTCCTGCTGAGCCCTCCTGCTGCTGGTGGCTGTGTTGGGTCTTGGTGATGCTGTTGGCCCCCCCTTCTGGGCTGGCTGGCTCTCCAGTGTTAAGCTTCATGATGCTATTGAAACCTCCTGTCGACTGCTTCCCCTTTTGGGTTTTGTTCTGTGTTTCGTTGGGGCTTTTTTGTTTTTTTTTTAACAAGGGGGGCAGGGAGGGAGGGTTTTTTTTCCAGCTGGGGTATTGGGTTTTGTTTGTGGATTTTTTTGTTTGTTTGTTGTGGTTTGTTGGGGTATTTTTAGTAACAAAAAAAAAACGGTTTCCATGCATTTTCTACTTAACCAGAGAAAGCTTATGTGGTGCTGCTCAAAGGAGCAGCTTAGATGCAGAGAGGTCTAGAACTTGCATTTAGTAGGAGAGTAGTGCATACGGTAGGATAAGCTAGAACGAGGTAAGCAGAGCCGTTTAAAATAAGTGTAATTGGCAGCTTGGTAGTAGTCCTGGGAGACAAGGTCCTCTGTGGGCTGCTGCTCGGTGGGGTGCCAGGTGCACTCCTGCTGTCCTTGCTCCGGAGGTGCCTCCGAGACCACAAGGTGTGGCTGTGGCCTCTTGCCCGAGGCTGTATCTGCATATAGGTGACTGGTGGCAGTGAGCAGGAGCTGCTGCCCTGGTGCTCTGCACCACTCTCTCCGTGCCTTGGCAGGCTCTTGGGTGGGAGATGGGGTGGAGGGGAGGCTGCCTTCCCCAGGGGTTGCTGCTGCTTTCCCTAGGGGGGCAACAGGGCTTCCCTGCACCTGTGGCAGCCCTGTCACCTTCTAGTCCTTGATGGCAGATGGCTGGCATGGGCTGACCTCCTTTGTCTTGGAAGGGCTCCCTTTCCCTCCTGCCTTTTCCTCACTGGCATCTTGCTGCTCCCCAGCCCTGGATGCTGAGGACCATACTGGAGCAGGATGGGGAGTCCTGCCTGCATTGGGCATGTAAATCCTGCCTGTATACCTATCATGTGATGGGGGGGAACCGTGGCAGGGAACTGCAGGAAGGATGCACAGGGACCTTCCCTGTCTGAGGAGTGCCAGGACCATCTGGCCACTGCACCTTCTGGCTGTCTCCAGCAAAATTAGTTTGGCTTATGTTCTTGGATGGCATTTAAAACCTCCACATTTTTCTTGCATTTTGTTGAAAGAAAAGCTAAAGGGCTCGTGTTTAGCATTTCAGCCTTGTCTGATGCTGGCATCATGTTTTCCCAGCACCACAAACTGCTTCCTGCTCTGGCCTGTGCTTGAAGTGCTGTAGGGTGAGGGGTGTAGAGAAGAGGAGGGGCTGCAGAAATGTCTCCCTTCAGCATGCCTTGTTGTAGAATCATAGAATGGCTAGGGTTTAAAGGGACCTTAAAGATCATCTAGGTCCAACCCTCCTGCATGGGCAGGGACATCTCTGACTAGACCAGGTTGCTCAAGGCCCCATCCAACCTGGTCTTGAACACTTCCAGGGAAGGGGCATCCACAGTTTCATTGGGTAACCTGTGCCAGTGTATTGCCACCCTCCCAGGAAAGAACTTGTTCCTAATGTCCAACCTGAATCTCCCCTCTTTAAGCTTCCAACTATTGCCCCTTGTCCTCTCACTACTCACCCATGTAAAAAGCCCTACCCCAGCTTTCCTGTAGGCCCCCTTCAGACATTGTGTGTTGGGCAGACACTGAGCCCTGACTCCCTCCATGCCAGCTGGAGGGGACAAGGCTGATGGCAGCACATCCCTTCTGGAGGGGTCACCTTGCTCCAAGTAAGCAAGGAAGCAAGCCTGAAGGGCACAACCCCATCTCCAACAGGTTAAAATTACCCTGTGGAGCCTCCTGCAGAGCTGGGAGGCCCTGCTGTTGGGAGAAAGCAGTCCCACAGCCAGATCCAGAGAGGATAAATTCTCTCCTATATTGAGCGTATTCTTGGCATCCACAGCCAAAGTTATTTTAAGCTTGCCTACAGCTGCCTGTTTGCCTTGCAGTCATGTCTGTGAGTGCCCTGCATGCATGGAGCTGTGCTTTTATGAATGTCTAGACCTGTTCTGGGCTCGGCCGAGCAGCTCCTGTGTTTAAATGAATGATAAAGAGAGAGAAGATGAAGCTCTCCCCCTTCCCCAGGGGTTCTCTGGCTGCTGGAACAAATGCCATTGCCATGAGGCTGGAAAACCCCTTTTCTTACTTCACTTGTGTCTCCCTGGCCTGGGGGGTTGGGCCATCAGTGCATCATCACTTGGTACATGAGGCATGCTGGTGAGAGGTGGGAAAGGGGGACCTGTTTCCCCAGGAAAGGAATTGGAGTGGGGTCCCTGCTCCTTCTGTGGGGGTGTTAGCCACTAGCTGTGGAGCTTTTGGCTTTAGAGTGTGAGCTTGCTCTGTCCTTTGGAGATAGAAGTCTTTGCTGGTCTGGGGTCAGATCCCCTGGAGATACAAGTAAGAGGTCACCCTGGGGTCTTATGCTCTTCTCTAGAGGACAGCAGTGGTTTTGGAGGCTTCACTGTGTTGGCTGTGTGAGGATCCCCAGGAAGGCAGCATTGAGGTTAAATGTAGTTTTTCAGCTCCCCAAGTGGGCAGCAGTACCAAGCTGCAGTGTTGCTGTGCTGCCCTCCTGAGCTGCAGAGGAAAAGAGGGCACCTAAAACTGCTCCTTCAGCATGGTGCATCTCTGCCCAGGGTATTTAATCCTTGTGCTGATGCAGATGAGCCTGGTGAAGCAGGAGAAATGTGGAACAGCTGTCAGAGCAGATTTCTCTTATTTTCTCCATTTCCCTCCTCTATTCTCCCTCCTTCTTGCTTTGCCCCCCACACCTGTTGTGAATTAGCCCTGCAGAAGCAGATGGTTATAGGTGGGAAATGAGTTTGTATTTGATGCTGTAGCCTGTTGCAAATGCTGCACTGTTTTGTTCATTTTATTTTTTAATCAACAGATTGTAATTTATGCCTATGCAAAAAGAAAAAAATAAAAGACCAAGACAAATAAATGACATTAAAACTGCTGTGAGCTTTTTGAGTATTTTGCAGGTGAATCTGCTGGTGGGAATGATGCAGAGCTACTTGATGCTTCCTTATGGAGCTCATGGCAAGTTCTTATTTTCCAACCTGACTAGAGCCAGCAGCTTTCACCTTGTCATCAAGCAGGCTCTGGGATCCAAAAGCTGCTTGGAGCAATGACTAAATGACTCTTAGAAACTTGCTGGGATACTTATAACCAAATACATCATTTTTTTTTACTTACAGGTCTGTGATAGACCATGGCTGTTCTCAGTCCATTCTGCAGTGACCTTGAAGCTGTCTCTGTGCATCAGTCTGTCCTCTGCCTTATCATGGCTGTGAGCAGAGCCCAGCTTGGCCCTGAGAAGTGACTAATTAAGGGTAGTTGTGTGTTGCTCTTTTTTTCTGAACATGGGCTGTAAATTACTCAGCAGGCAGCTAAGAGCAAGTAGAAAGGAAATGTTCTCACCAGGAGGAAGTTACTCTGGAACATAAAAAAGGCTGCAAAAAGGGAAAATTAACTGGCTTGAATGTGAGAAGGGTCACGGTTGTGTCTGCTTAACCAGGATGCATTGGAAGCAGGCCCATGTTAGAGGACTGCCCCTATAGCTCCTTGCAGAAGGCCATTGTAGGGTCCAAGAGGAGGAGAGGGGCTGCATGGGTGTGTGCCTCAGCTCTCAGCCCAGGACTTAATATGTGAAAGGGCTATGCAGGGCAGGAAAAGCCTTTGTACACGCCTCAAATCAACTGAGGACACAGGGCCCATTCCAAGCCCTGGAGAGTCCCACTGTATTTACAGAAACAGGTGAGTTCAAATACACAGCAAGGGCAGGGGGAAGCACAAGCTGGTGCAGGCAGTGAAAGTAATGTGGTAAAACTGCAACACCCTCTAGCAAAGGACCTCTGATAGACTTGGACCCAGATTGCTCTAGAACCTCTTCACACACACATACACATACACCTCGCACAGGAGAGCCCCCACCATGCAAGTGTTCTTCAAGCACTGCAACTTGGGCAAAGTAAAAGCTGTTGGAGTTGTACAGAGGCTCAGCCACAGCTCTCTGCTGGTGGCCAACAAAGGAGCATGGTGCCAGGCAAACCTGCTTGGCCTGGTGTGAAAGCAGCAACTGCTGGTTTTCCTGAGGAACAAAAAGCAACAAGACATCCTTTAACTTGGAACAAACTTTTTTAAAATTTATTTTATAGATCACACCAGCCTGAGTGATCTTTGAATGCTGGTCACAAAAGAGAGAGATCACACCACCTCCTTTGCACAAACTGAAGTAAACCCTCTTCCAGTCTTGGCAGTCTCCTTCATTTGGAGCACAGGGAATGGAGAAAGAAAACCGCCTGGAGCTCCCTGCTCCCCTTGGAAGCAGTGAAATCAGATGCAGGTTAATGCTGCTCCAGGGCCAGAAGACAACCGAACCAGGCCCTCGTGCCCTGCTCAGCCACACTTCACACCCCCTCACAATGCGGGTGCTATTAGTGTTGTAGCCGCCTGTAGTTCCTCCCTCACCAGGAGAGTGCTGGTATTTAGGCACATAGCTTGGAAAGGACTGTCTGGCCTCCCTGCTTCCACCCATGCTCAGGCCACTGCAGTCTCTAAGGCAAAGTACCCTCGACTCCAAACCCCATTTCCTCACCACGCCGCTTAATGCTCTTGGAGTGCTGGTGCCGGCACTGGGAGACGTGCCCTCCTCCCCTGAGCTTGCTGTCAGTCAGTCAGTTTGAAAGCCTGCCTCGAAGCACAAGGTGAACTGGAATGAATGCCACACAGGAGCCACAGAGCAAGAAACAGGAACAGCCCGCTAAGGTGGGACAGAAACTTTCCAGTCTCCCTCTCATTAAAATTAAAAGTCCTTCATTGGAGGAGGAAGCCCTCAAAGAAACCGAGGCTGACCACACCTGCTGGGGAGAGCCATGATTTGCTGAGGCTGCCACCTCCTCCCTCAAACCACCACCACGCTCCTACAGCTCACCACAAGCCATCAGAGGATGACTCTTGTCCTCACGGGAGCCAAGCAAAGAGGCAGGGTTAGAAGAGAGATCAAAATACTCAGGGAATTGAGAACTTGCACAACCCAGGGTTAAAAAAACATGATAACTTATCAAGTTAATACACAGACATCTTTGCAGGGCCTTCCTGAAGAAGCCAGAATTTGCCATTTAAAAAAAAAAAAAATCTTAAAAAAAAATCAATCATCTTAAAACATCATAAAAATTACCATGTACTTCAAAACCTGAAAGCCCTTCATCACGTTTGGTACCAAATCATCATTGCCCTCTTTGGACAAGAAGGGAGAAAACAAATCTTACCTCTGCCCTGGCAAAGTTTAGGCAGCGAGTTCCAGAGGAAGTCTGGGAACTCTTGGAGTAAACAAAATCAAGGGAAGGTCATGTTTGACCAGTGTCACTGTTCCAAAGGTATATTACACCACCTGTGGTCTCTGTCTGTCGAGGTGAGAAGGCTTTCCCTGACTCGAGGGACAGACCCAGTGTTCCTGCACTATATTCCTAACACTGTCAGTGGAGCTGCTGCACCTTGAGGGACAGGTTCAATTTGCTCCAATGTGCACTGCACAAACAACAGGAAAAGCAGCATGATGGGAAGAGGGACAGGATGGACAAATGACTACCCACTTAATTCCATCTCTAATTAAAATACTAAGTGCTATCAATGTATTTGACAAGGATATTTGGTATAGGATTCCTCACCTTAGCATCAAGAACTGCTTTCCAGTTTGTTTACCTCTTAGATCTCCAGCTAATGAACTTTCTTACCATCTCCTTCAAACTTCAGTCACTAGGTTAAATGAAACCCACTTAGAAATAGTTTAAGACAGAGGGAATCCAGAAACATTTGGCACGGGGCAACAGTGGTGAGGAAACAATGCCCTATGGAGCCATCCTAAGCAACGTGTTTTAACCTTTGCAAATCTGGAATTTCAGGCGTTTGCTAACGCCTGGATCTGAGACAGCAAATAGGAGGAGAGCAGCAAGTCCTGTGGACAGAATGGGGGGAGGGAGGAGGGAGGCAGCTAACTGGCTCTTCGCAGTTCTATCCAGACTCTCCTCTCATCTTCATGCACACAAAATATAATAAAAACTAGTAAGAATAAAAACTAAGCCCATGATGTACAAAAATGTGTCAACAGGGGAAGGAGGAAGGTGTCAGTTACTCAGTTCTGGGTGTCTTATCACCTTCATTAGCTTATAAATTATGCTCCTCTCCATCGCTTCCTTCAGGGAGGAGGGATGATTCTTCTGCAGCCAATCAGCTGGGATGGGTTTTGGTTCAAGCTGCTCTGGATCTTTTGGATAAGAAATGAAGGGAAGGGAAGGAATTCCTCAGAGGGAGGAGGAGTAAGAAATTCAGCAGCCACTGGCAGGAGTCACACAGGCTCCCTGAGACTTCACTTTATGGCGCTGACCCCCACGTCGCCGGCCTCCTCCTCCAACTTTTGACTGAAAAACAAGAAGACACACTTCAGGGCGCTGCAATCTCTGAACCAGAGCATCAAGCACAGCAGAGTCCAGACGGATTACACAGACACCCAGACAGCAGGAGCGCAGTTGTGACTGACCAGCTTCCTACCGCTGCAGGAAGGAGATCAGGCCGACAAGACACCATGAAGGAAGGAGGAGAGACAGGTACACCATGAAGTTCAGCCCTTCAAGCTGGGGAGAACCCAATTTCCCAATTTTTCTGAACGCTTTGCTCTCCCAGGAGAATCAGCAGGTGCTATGGGGTCAGCATCTGGGAAACCAAGGCCTCAAGCACCCTTGGCTTTGTGGAGAATGAAAGGGGAGTCCCCCACCTCCCTACCAGGGCTTTCTGGATAACCTCGCTCTGTTCCCAGCCTCAGGCCAGCCAGCCCACCCATCTCTTTTAAAGCAGCCAAATACCTTATTGCCCTCACGGACGTGGGGCTCTTCATCCAGCGCAGGCTGAAGGGAAGCAGCAAGGAGAGAGAGGGAGAGGTAAGCAAGAACAAAAGCAACACAGACTCTTGGGGAGGGGACACGGAACAAAAAGCAAGCTGGGAGCACTACTTAAAACCACAAATGATGCTACAACAAGGAGATGGGGGATCAGTAATAAGCCACAGGAATATGCAAAGGGAGAGAACCCCTGTCAGTGTCTCCTCTTTCAGAAGCCAGCCTGGTTCAAGAGGGTGAGATTTGACCAATGACAACTAAAATAGCTAAAATTACGAGAGGGAACAGCGACAAAGTCTCTTGACAGAGTCAGTTCCTGAACCTTTCACTTATTAGGTAAGTACATGTACTAAAGCTGACAAATAGTTCCCAAAGACTGCAATTAGAACAGTTTCCATTCCTTTTGGAGCAGAAAGGTTAGATACCAGTCTGGGACAAGATGAGCTGAGAAGTTCTAACCAACAAAACACCTGGATAAATTTATCTCAAAAGAGCTAAGTGTCTCCTCCTTCAACATCTCCATCCTCCCTCCTTGACAGACAACCTACTGATACTACTAATTAGGTTGCAATTTCTCTAGTGTAGGGTTGTTCCACCTCTCTCTCAGACAGCAGAGACCTATTCTGTGACTGGCTGTTAGATGCTTCACTAGTTCAGCTACTGGGTATACAGAGATGCCTCTTCACCGTGAGCACAGTTAAGCAGTGAAACAGGTTGCCAAGGGAGGTTGTGCAGCCTTCCTCCTTGGAGCTTTTCAAGTCATGACTGGATAAAACCCTGAGCAACCTGGTCTGACCTCACAGCTAATCCCACTTAGAGCAGGAGGTTAGACTAGACATTCACTGAAGTCCAACCTGAATTGTTCCAGGACATTAAAGTGCTGAAATATCAGCCATGAGGAGTCAACCAGTCACCAGAGAATTCTGATTTCTGCTGTGAGACTAGTTACATTTCTATGTGTTTCTGTTGCATCTGGAGCCTGAAGGCAAGTTCAAGGGTATGAGGGGATAATGCTTGTGTTTTTATAGTGCCCTTCCTCCAACAGAAGAATCCAGGACAGACGGGGTGTTTTCCTCACTTACCAACGGTTGTAGGGCAGTAGGTGTGAGTGGTGCTGCGGCTGTTGAGGGGGCCTCATCCCCAGCTGTTTGACCTCCAGCTGCTGTCCCAGTTGGGGGAACACCATCCTCTCGTTTGGTAACGGCTCCCTTCTTAGTTGACTGCATCTTGATCTGCTGTGGCTTGGAATTCATTGGCGAGTTATTGGTGGTCTGGAGTAACTGCAGATTACAAAGGGAGAAGCCAAAATCAGCATTAAAAAAAACAGGCCAACATGGCAAGGTTCAATGCTGCTTTTTAACAAAAAGCTTTGGGAGAATTGATACCAACAGCCATTGAGAAGCATGCAGCAGCAGCTACTGAAATCTAGGCTCCTGAGCTGCCATCAGGAACTTCTAGACAGTGGAAAGGTCCACTTGGCTGAGGTGACACTAAGCCCACCTCAATATGACTCAACGGGACCAGGTACAAGCTGTCAGAAAGAGACTGCGCCATAAGAACTAGAGGCATCAGGCTCACCCTCCACCTTCACATCCCCTCATTCCCACCAGCTAAGACCAACCACACAACAAAACACACCAGTCATCTGCAACCCAAGTCAGGGCTGACATCTGTAATTGAAGGACGCTCTCTTCCCTCAATTTTCCAGAGGAGCTACGTGGATTCTCCTGCTGGCTTTCTCAGTGCCAAAAGTAGCCAAAAAAAACCCCCCAAAACAATTGGACTCTTCAGCTTTTACCTTAGTGATGGTGCCCACAGCTTTGGTGCGGCCTTCACGGAAGACCAGACGCTGGTCTATATGCAAATACTCGGGGGTTTTGATGAAGCGGAAGTGCACGGTGGCTTTGTCCCCCGTCCGCAGGCAGTCCTTGTCCATGCTGAGAATCGTGGCCGTCTGACGGATGCTGCCACAGTGCACTGGGGATGTAACACACAGAGGCTGTCAAGGGCCAGTGCCACCCGGGGAATAAGCTTCAGGCACACCTAAGGCAGCTCTCGCTAGCCTGCGGTGAACAGTGCTGAGTTTGGAATGGAAAACTCTGCTGTGCACCAAAGACTCTAGGGGTCACATGGCTGCCTTTGTTCAGTCCTCAGGAAGAAAACACATATGAGCTACAACAGTTGCCTTGAAACACAGACTACCATGAAGCATCTTCAACAGAATCCTACAAGCCAAGCAGTCAGGCTAGAGGGCATGACCTGAGTCTCTCAGTCAGAATCTGAAGCTGAAGAATCTTTGCACCGTGGAGATCCAGCTCAGGAAGGCTCCAAGTACACTTGGAGTCACTCATCTTTCTACCTTCAGCCTTTGCTCCTCTATCAGCTCCCACTCTTCTCTCCAATACATTGCTGGGAAAGCTCACGCCAGAAACTATGTCTCAAATTCAGGCTGACAAGAGCCATCAGGAGAAAAACTATCTCAGGCTACAGCTGATATAAACTGCTACCACTGGGAAACAAAGATGGGACAACAGTGAGACACATACCCATGGCCTGATATCGTGGGCTGATGGTGGTGGGGTGATGGAGCACCAGAATCTCTGCTTCAAACTCCCACGACGCTTGTGGATTCAGGCGTGGTGACACCATTACCATGCCTTTCCGGATGGAGGAACGCTTGATCTGAAAAGCAGAGAAGCAAAAAAACCTTACTGGGATTCTCCAGGGAAGAAATTTTCTTCTGTGGCTGACTGCATCCAGGAGGATGCTAAGGGATTTCACAGACACTAGCTCATGCTCACCAAAAGGCAAAGCCAGAGCTGTTTAGCAGTATGTACTGAAGTTCTGCAAAGGTTGCAAAAATAAAGTTTGGTTGAAGTTTCTCAGGAAGCTTTAGTTGGAGTGCTGGGAATGCTGGACACTGACAAAGAAGTTTTAACTCACTAATCCTTTAAAAGCAAAACATCTACCCTGACTGCACTTTACCCAAGCAGATGGGTAAAGCATGATGTCTGTTAATACAAAATTGCAAGACTGAACACAGGAAGTTTGGTAGAGCTTAAACTATAGCCCCTTGAAATCCATGCAGCTTCTACTGACAGAAAACTTTCACTAGAGGAATTGCATCAAATTTTGCTAATTTTCAAACCCCAAATCATGCAGCTGGTTCTACAAGTTGAGAGGAAGAGTATAAATACCCTGCCTAGGCTACTAATGCAGTTGTAGCACAAGAGAAGACTTTTCTAGTAGCGCGTCTGCTTCATAACACATCTCCTCGACCCTGTTCCTCATTGCCTGGGGTCCCACTGCTATTACCTGGCAGCTGCCAGGTGGAGCAACGGGGACACAGGACCACAGAGGTTCTGTGGGATCTGAATGCAGCCAAGGCTTGCAGAAGCAGTCTGATTGCAGCTGAACTCCAAGAGCACTCTGAAATAGGGAGGGTGGTTCTTGTTCTGAGAGCCTAGAGCAGATCAGCTCACCTTTTTCAAAGCAAAGGAGGCAGTCTGGCCTCCCCGCACTTCTTTGACGGGCATTCTCTTGCGGTGGATGGACTTGACAGCAATAGGCAGGAAGTTGCCAAGGGGATCTGGGCCCAGCAGCAGGGTGTCATTTAGCTTGATTAGGCCTCTCAGCGTCGTCCCAGACACCACTGTTCCTACACCCTGTACCAAAAAGAAGAAAAGGTAATTGGGGTTATCTGACCAAGCTAGCAGAAGAACTCTAGAACTCCCTCCTCTAGGGAAGATGCCTCTTCAATCTGAGAGAGAGTAGAAAATTCTTCCAAACTCCAGGCCCCTTACCGGGACTGAGTAAGTATCATCTATCTGGAATTCTGCCGGCTCTTCCTCCCTGTAACTGGTCCGTGGAGACAAGAGATTAAGAAACATCTTCAGCAAATCTAGGTTCTCCCCAGTGACATTTGAAATCTGAAAAATCGGGCACATCCTGTAAAGCAAAAATGATGAAAATGAAGTTAGTTCACTTCCCTGCCTGGAATTCCACGTGTAGGAAAATCTTGGGACTGAATTCAATACACAGCACTATGAAGGGAGAGCCTGGCAAGCAGTCAGATGCACGATACCCCATGTTTGAAAACCTGCTACATTGCCTCTGTCTTTTAATGACATTCAGGAATAGGTGTAAGGTTCCAGGGCTGAAGGAAGCTGAAAACCCTGCCATCTTCTGCAGACTGCCCAGAAGCACCCTCTCATTTCTGCCTCAGAGAGGGGAACACAAGCAGCTCAATCTCAGAATCAACGCATTCTTAATGGAATCAACACACCACATGGCAGATGCAACCTTCACACATCTAGACAAAGGGACTCTCTTTCTGAATCTTCTCACCCAGTCTCCAAATAGGATTAAAAGAGAAACGACTCTCCTCTCCTCCCGTTACCTCTCTGAGCTGAAGTTGGAGGCTGTTACAATGACATCATCCTTGCTCTGAACCAGCACGGGAATCTTCCTGCACCCTGGGGACTTCAGCAGTCGCTGTAACAGCTTCAGGGTTTCTTAAAGGGTGAAATGAATATTGTTAGGGCAGCATCTCCCGCCTTTACAAACTGCTTTTGTGGGTCTTTCCCCAAAAGGGAGACTGGTGCTTTTGCCACAAATAGACAGGAGAAGATGGCTAAAGGTGCGTGAGTGAGACTGAGTTTGCTACAGCCCAGGTGGGACTGAGGAGTCATTCCATCTTGCATTTCTTGCCAGCTAGCCTGTTGCCAAGTGACACCACACGTGAACAGACATACATGTTTGCGTCTGCAAGTGCATTGCTGGGAAGCAGACATCTTATAGCTTTCTATTAAGTAGCTTTAAGTGGTCATAAGGTACTTCCTCTTCCTAGAAAGGGTTTTTCATATTGAATTCAATGAAAACCAGCAGCACTCAGGAATTGAAATATTAGAGAATATGTGAATTAGCAAGAAATTTTGACCAAACCAAACTCAACACACTTTCCCTGGCAATCAACCTGCCCTAGAAGGTTTAGAGAAACAGGAAAGAGGTAAAGATCATCATTACAGACTAGGACAGTGTAAATGGCCAGATCTGGAAAGAAGTATTTTGGGACAAATCTCATGGCTCCCTACTTTGATCTTTGCCTCTTTTTAATTTATTTTCTAAGTCTTATATCTGTCAGCCAGCAGCAGCATTACTGGATACAGGAGCACCAGCCTCCTGCAAAGTGCCTTAAAATACATGAGGAGGAAAAAAAAAAGGCTAGTAAAGGCTTTAAAGATCAAATCAATATCCTGTAATTGTCATCCAATTAGATGGGTTTTGTGAACAAATTATTACCTATGGGAAAGTGATGTTTTGGATACAGAAACCCAAACATCTAATCATGCCATCTGCTCTTCACAGATACACTTCAGCCAGATCTTGTGTCCGTTTAATGTAAACAAACATGACACAGGAGTGTCTTCCCCCAAGAGCAGCTCTTCTCTCCTCACCCTGGGCCAAACATTCTCTTTCCTTCCCAGTTACTATCTTATGGTTGGGCCTTACATGTATGTGCCAAACATCTATTACAGAGACATTTAGATTATCTTCTGATCACATGCATCTGTTTACCTGGAACATAGCTAGGATTTTTACAACAATGAACTAACCACAGACAGTACTAGGAGCATTCACTTTCCTGATCCTTAAGACTGATTATCAAAACAATCATTGCTCCAATTAACCACAGCATGTTCCTGAAGGTGTAAGAAAAGCATCAAGAGATTTTTAAAGGTGAGAGTTGGTCACAGCCTGAAAAAATATCAAGCATAGGTTGATATAAAATATCAAGCATAGGGACACTGCTGGGGTTAGAGGTGCTCCTTTAACTGCTGCTGAGCAAAAAAATTTGCTAGCCCCTGCTGGTCACTGCCATCCCTCCTTTGTGTCTAGTCCAGTCCTGCTGCCACACCCCACATATGCACCTGCTTTGAACCATGATTTATTGTTTGTTGTTTGGGTGTTCAGACAGAGGAAGGAGCTGCTGTAGTTATGCCAGCCTATCTGAGAAGTGCCCAGGTAAGCCTTCACCTAACAGCTGCTGGAGAACAAGTTTAATCACAGCTTAACATCACATTCCAACTGCGGGCAAGGAGGAAAAAAGCTTTCAAAATAACTTCCAGACCTTTGCTCCACATTTAAATACTCAAGAGAGAAAGCAAAGGCACAACCTCAGCTGTATGTTTCTTCCCTCAGAGCTTGATTAAGCAAAATCCTGTATCAAGCACTTTTGGGTTGCCAAGCTGCGTCCCTCAACTCATGTAATTTTGAAATAGTGCCTACGAATGAAATGCCTGCAAAATGGACAAGGGAAAAGGATAGATTTCTGGAAGGTGTTTAAGATCCAATCAAAACCAGATAAAGCATCTTTCCTCCATTAGTAATTCCTCAACCCAAGCAGAGAAGTACAGCCCTGAAGAGAGCTTGTAGGACTCACCTTGCAAGATGTTGGCAGGGCACATGTCGATCTTGGTCACCACAACAAAGACAGGAACATTAAGTGCAAGTGCCAGGCCCAAGTGCTCCTTGGTCATTCCAACAATCCCAGCGTTACTGCCAACCTACACCAGGGATACAAGACATGGTGATATTTCTCCTGCACTGAGCTAGGTTACAGAGAAGGCCTTGCGTCAGACACGCAGTAGGCTGTGATTAGGTTGTAGATGCTTCATTGGGACTGAATAAGCAGACCCAGCTCATTTCAAATGCTCTTGGACATTGGCTGAGGACTCATTTCTCCTCCATTTTAACAAGGTTTTGTAGAGTTTAAAAATCTTTTAGTTTTCAAGAACCAGACATACGGGGCCGGTCTGGGACTGGCAGTCCTGGGGCACTTGCCTCCGAGTCCTGATGAGATACCCACAGCGGCTGCTATTCTCCACCTCTGGGAGATGCTGCCTCCCTCCACAACCCCATAGCAACCGTGCCACAGGAAAGAAGTTGAGGCTGTTACAGGTTTGAACAGCCTCACTCCTGCAGGTACTAAACTTCTTTCTCACCACCTACCATAAGCATGCAGAAGTCAGGTAAATGGCCGGTCATGCCGAAGACAGTGGTTTTCAGGTACTTTTCGTGGCCAGCTAGGTCAATGAAAGTAATGACCTTGGTGGATTTCTCACAGATCTTAGTCCACTCCAAGCTGCCACCATGGCTGTCAGGCTTGTTCACCACGTTGCCCTCGCTGTCAAAGCCCAGGATGTCATTGCCCACACTGCTGGTGCGGCCTGACTCAATCTCGTGCTTGTGGCGGAAAAGCTTTTGCCGAGCAAAGCCTCGGCCGTTGTCCAGCTCGCCGTGTGTCAAGACACCCAGCAGTGTGCTCTTCCCTGCGTCCACATTGCCAACCACTGCTACCCTGGAGGGGAAAGAAAGTAGGAACCTGGTAAAATCTGATACCTGAAGAAATAAACAAACGAAAACTGAGAAAAACCTTGCTGCTCCTGCAAACAACTAGCTTTTTCTCCCCAGCCTTCAAAGAGAGATTGGAAAATATATCAGACCTTCACAAGCAGAGCAAAGATCCTTTCACAGCGATTAGGTTACAGGGGAGATCCCAGGCTCTGGGGACTGGGATGTGGAAGGCTCTGTAAATGTCACTGGTGTCCAGATCACAGTCAGCCGAACCTGACTTTGCTTGATGCCATATAGAATCTCTCTCTTCAAACCTCCAGTCTCTGCAATCCAACTTATACTTTGGCAACTAAAAAAAAAAAATTATCCCAACTTGGTCTAGAATAGCTCTGCCTTTTTTGTATTTGTCCCACTGCAACAGCACCAGCTGCCAGAGAGAGAGCACAGAAATTTGTATTGCTGTTACCAGAAAAGGTCAAACAACAATAAAATGTTTTAAGGGAAAAACCTCCTTCCTTGTCGCTGATAAAGGTGGCTATCATGGCTGTTGGCAAATGTTGGAAATTCATTCTGTCCAGGACTGGGCAATCTCTCCAGTTGTATTACACAGGCTATTATATGTCCATTAAAAGGTGACCTGGATCAGCAGAATCTTGGAATAGAACTGAAGCCTTAGTCAAAAATATTGCATACCAGCAGTGTGCACATGCGCACACACATACAGACCCACATGCACGTGTGACTCCCTATTGGGATTCCAGCTCACAAAAGATGCCCAAACTGAAAAGCTGTCACCCAGAGAGCAACAGCCCTTAGTTAAACACAGGCAAATCTCCACAGTCAGTTTGCTCACAGTAGAGACAGCAACAACAACAAAAAGGCGATTTCATTAGCAAGGAGCGGTCAAGCCCAATTGCCTTTGTTGGGTGGCTGCAACACCCAGACTTAAATTGGAGCTGCTGGCTCAGCACAACAGACTGCTCACAGGGTAAAAATGCAGCTGGGCTGCTGACTAACCTTACCTCCACCCTGGCTCCTCACCTGACCTCCAGGAAGTCGTTGTCACCCACACGTTTCCGAACAAGGTAGTCGCGCACCTTGCCCCCTGCCTCCTGGTGCTCCCGCAGGAGGATCACGTCTGCCTCAATCTGCTCTGCCATGCTCTTCAAGGTGGCATAGGATGCTTCCATGTCTGCCTCGCTCAGACCGTACTCAGTCCCGTCTAGTGTGATGTTGAGGAGACAAAGGACAGTCAGTGAGGACCACCTGGCAATGGCCAGTGGCAATGTCATTCTGCCTGGGACCTGGACATTGGAATTTATCTGTGCACTGGAGGTGTCAGGCATCTACACAGAGTAAGCCCAGGAAGAAAAAAAGATAGTCTTCACTCTAGTGTTAAAAGATACTAGAAAAGCACCATCTTACATCTAGGAGTTTTCTTCATGATTTCTAAAAGCAAATACTTTGGGATTGGCAAGAAAGACACGTTAATGTCTAATTCCCTTTCTTTGCATGTTCAAGGTACCTTGCGTGCAATTTCCTTCAGTCAGATGAAACATCTCCTCTCACATTGCAATAAAGCATTAGCAGAAGGAGAGCTCTGACTGAAATATCACCACAATTAACTAGTGAATGAGGAACCAATTAAAAAAATCAGCTTATTTTATAAAACAATATCCCAAGTGCCTTTTTTCTGCAAGTCTGGCTTGCGCAGCAATTTCTTTAGCCTCCATGCACCACAGCTGAAACAATGTTTTTGGCATGTTTTGCTGCCTTCATCCTGGCACTGGGAAGAAATGCTGACAGCACAGGAGGCCAGAAAAACCCAAGGAGGCACTGCGGCCCCTGAACAGCCCACCCAAGCAAAGAGCTGACAGTCAGAGCAAGCCCATGGCAACTACCTAGACCGTTTAAAGGTCACCACAGCTCTCAGGTTCTCTCCTAATGCAGGTGCTGAGAAGCTGGTAGATTTCAGGCCAGAATCATCCCTTGGGTAAAAAAAATCCACAAGAACAAAGGTGGACACCACATAGCACCTGCATGACACAAGCCATTGCTGCGTGTGCATTCATACGCATGGCTGACTCATCAGCTGGTAAGCAGTAACTGCAGTTTGCATGAACTAATCAGCTTTTTAATTAGTGCACAGCTCTACTACACAGTAGTACAGGATAGGGGAGGGTAGGAGCCAAGGCAGAAAGGGCAGGGTCACTCTGATGCAGCGGTGAGCCAGCCTCCTGGCAGCCTTCACTTGCTCTCTGTCATCTCAGGTGGGAGTTCTTGATGATCAGAATCACAGCCACTCCAAGTGAATGAGAAGGAGGGACGGTGGCAGGTATATCAAGATTTATTTCAGTTGCCTATTTTTTCCAATTTATAGAAGAGATCGCCATCTTCCTCAACTATGCAGTAAGCCAAAATGAAGTTTTAGGAAACAAATGCCTACTTCTGAGTACATCGTACCAACAACCACCAGTTAACACCCTCATAAGGTATCCCAGGAGAAAAAGGAGTCACTAACCCAACTATCTAGATGTCCCCTGCAGATGTGGTTATCCCATACACCAACAATTCAGACTACACATGGGAAGCTCTCTGGGACACAAGGGCACTACCCCTGTGATACTGGCTGCACAACAACTGGTCATCTAATCCCAGCTTCTCCTCTATGTTGGCTGCTTCACAAGATAACAAAAAAACCCAACCAAAACCACACTGTTCTGAGGTACCACAACTCCCTCCTTCCATTATCTCAGCCAGCCCTGGCACTGACGACATGGCATTTGTACTCTTCCTCAAATATAATAACTAGTAGAATGTCTGATTTGATGTCCAGCAGATATCTCTTTGCAGCATGCCTTTAGTTTTACGATAGCCATAGACAATTTTTCCATATTCAGAAAATAAATTTCAATTTTAAAGCAGGGCCATGTTCCATATAATTTTACCAGTATGAGATGCAAATATTCAAATTGTGAAAAAGAACAAAAAGGGTTACCTTTGCTAACTGCTAAAACCTGCAAAGGCAAATGATGGCAGTCTCACTCAAGTTAATGTGACAATAAAGGCCTCATGCTGTGAAAAAGAAAGCCTCTCTCTCCATAGTACAGACACACACACTAAGAAAGAAAGTCAGCAGCATGTATTTTGGCTATCTGAAATATCTCAAATACATTCCTGTGTAAATATTGCTATTTACAATGGAGAAGTGAACAAAAACTGACAGAAACGAGACCTCCATCAGACATTCAGGATGTCTGTACTCAAACTGTTATCATAATTTCAGATCCTTCCTCTTTTCCCGGTGTGCCTAGACAACTTATGCCTTATATCCAAACAGAATTTTATACATGATTTATACAAAAAAATATGTTTAGCTCAGCTACACGTATCTTGCTGGCATGGGATAGAATAAAAGAACCTGTCCCACATGTTCTGCTAAACTTTTTGGAGGTTTCCAAGTTATTCTGGAAAAGTAAGTACTACCTTCAGCAGCAGCCCAGTTAGGTGAACTAGGTGTTTCTTACAATTTTAATGTTTGTTTTTTTCCTGAGGAAGCTATACTCACCTGATCCTTGACCAATGACATAGATGGTCTCCCCACATCCCTCATCAATCCTCTCTGACATCTGACGGAGCAAACTGTCATACTGCTCTGAAGTTGGACTCACCATCACCAGCTGGAAAAAAGTTTAAATATCCATTTGCAGATACCAAGCAAGCAATTTCAAAACCAGCTTCAGTTACAAGGATAATCAATCCATGTGCTTTATTGAAAGAGAAAGGCTTATTTTCAAGGACCACTTTCTGGTGCTCTGTTTTTGGTTTTGTTTGTTGTTGGTTTTTTTTTCCCCCAGCTTTGCTGACAGCCATTTCCTTGTGACAGGGTTATTAGCCTGAACTCCCAGTTCATTTATGTTGGAAGATATACTTCAAAGCAAGTAAGAATACCAAGCAACTCATTAAGAAGTAACCAATGTTTAAAAGCCACATGTAAGTCAACACGCCACTTCTACCTCTGCGTAATACGTGTTTCCATGAAAGGAAAACAGAAAGGGGAGGAGACATTTTCTCCAAAGATATTCCTCAGATGAGTATTCCACAGCCACTACTAAACAGAATGCTGCTGCTCCCCCAAAGTATGATGAGGCAGAAGAAGCCAGCCAGACCTCACTGCAGAACACCTCTAGGCACCAAAACCTAAAGCATCTCACAACTCTTTCACATACTTGATCTGGTTGGACTTGGTGATCCTAAAGACCAGACTAGAATTCCAACTAGAATGATTCTGTGATCTCCCCTTTTGTTTTCTGAGGGGCAAAGGGGAAAGAGAAAACATGAATAAGCATTATTTTCAAAGTCCTAACAAAACTTCAGGTAGTTTAAGCCTATTTGAACGTTTCACCAGCAGAGAGCTGCAGTTTTGAAAGCCAGCAACTGTGCTACCAACAAGCTTTGACTGCAGCTACTGCAACAACCACAACTTCATTTGCCCTTCCCTGCAGAGGCATCAAAAAGAGTGAACAGAGGAAACGAGGACAAGGCAGTGCTTCAAGAAGGATTTTTCTTAGAACAAAATGGTGTAGCACCATTTCTGGAAAAAACCTGTGTCACTCATAATTGTACTGAATGACTTGAAGCTGAAGACACTCACACAAAGTGACCACAGTGGTGTTGTGACAGTGTCAGACCAAGGAGACCTTAATCACCCATTCAGGACTGATGGACTACTTGCTTTCTGGCTGCCTCCATGGTTACAAATCTTCTGAACATTCTTTTACAGTGGCTCAAGAGCTGCTGCAACTGAGATGTGCATTGCTGTGAAAAGGGCACTTTTAGTAAGAGTTGTAAAGGCTGTTGCCCACCGACAGCCCTTTGGGCAGGCAGGTCTGTGCCACACTACAACACTCACCAAAATCCACGCTTCCATTAGCTTCCAGTCCTGCACAGAAAGATGTGCTTCCCACCACTACGCACTAAGGCCACTCTGAAATCTGTGCTAGATTTGCCTAAAAGATGTGGCTCACAGCAGTTCACAATGATTGCATCTTCAAGCCTGCCCAAACACTCTTACTAAGGCAGCCTGACTCGCTGGCACAGCTAACACAATGTGTATTCAAGGAGGAGCCACCTTCACCACTCACTACTACTACACAGGTGATGAAGACCTTTATTAGAAATGAAGGGTGCAAGAGAACCAAAACCCCCACAAATTTAAGCATCTTGCAGAACTCTAGTGATACATACACCTGGAAGACTGAAGCACATACAGCAACTGCTTGTTAGAAGGTTTAAGCAGTCAAAGCAACACTTTCCTTGGATGTTTAGGGTCACACAGAGAATGTATGTGTCTGCAAGGGCCAGACAGCTATGAGAGAGAAAATCACCTTCATGATCACTTTAGATCTTTAGATACTTTAGATGCATGCCCTACCTAAGGCTTTGAACTACTTGGCATTGTCTGCAAAGGGTAACAAAGCACTCTGATTTGGAAGGCCACACAGTCCTCTTGCTTTGTGCTACAAAGAATTGGGTTTTGCCTTTATTGTTGTTTTGGTTTTGTTTTCTTCTTAAGGGAGACCATGGGATGTAAATTCCTTGAGATGGAAACTGGCAACTGTTCAGATGGTGAACTGGGAGAACAGAAAGCTGTGTGCTGATGAGTAGGGCTTGTTTTGCCCAACAAGCACTTTCAGGAACTCCTGGAAGCACAGCAGACAGGCTCACTGTTTTGGCTAGTGCACCAGCATAGGTGAGAGATTTAGGAAATTCTATTAAATATGCTGTCATACACATAAAGATTGAAAAAATAACAGGGACCAGCAGGGTAGAGGCTCCCTAACTGCAGTTTCTTTGAGTCTCATCACTGTCTTTATTTTTCTTCCAGTTCAAATCCTTCAGCAGGGTGAGTGGACATTGACTAAAGGAAGTAGCAGGGGAATATTTCAGCCAAGCAGCTTGCTGCAGCCTTCCCTCTGGGTGCCAGGAAGGAGGGCTGGGGGCTCAAACAGCACGGTACCTGTGCACATTCAGGCTGCATATATAAAAATGCTGCTCCCCACTCCTGCTGCTTTCACTGCTGTGCAATGGTGATGTTGAAGGGTGTTCCAGTGCTGCCCCAAAACAGCAGAAGTCCTCCAAACACCACCCTGGGGCTGATGAAGCTTGCACCTGATACGATTTAGCAGGATGTCAAGAGAAGGATGTGTAGAACAAATAGCAGCTTTCATGGATCACACCTTCCAATGCCCTTCAGTATTTTTAACAGCTGCTTCAGCCAGTCCTGCAGTTTTGCTGGTCACTGCAAGGCTTTACCTGCTGTTTTGAAGATCCCTTTAGCTAAAGTCCTGGACAGAGTGAGCCTGTTCTTTGCCATCTCCTTGGTGGAAAAAACGAAAAACCACCTATCTTGACTGCTCTGCTTTTTTAGCTTTTCACCTTTGAGCTATCCCCTCCACATTTACACTATTCTGTTTTTTCAGAGGTTTTCCCAAAGTAAAAAAAATTCACTTATATTATGTCTACTTCACCAGGCACTGAGCAGTTAAGAGTAGGAGCCATGTGGGTCTAGCAACCTCAGATTTCCTATAGGGCAAAAAAAGTAACAACCAGTTATTGTTTTATTCTCATGACAGCAGAAGGAAAGGTATCTTACAAATTAGAGATGCCACCTCCGAAGTCCCTTCACAGTCTCTGGGGAGAGATGACTTTTCTCATCTTTCCTCTGATCAGTTTTGGGGTTATGAGACACCAGAAGTGGGCAATAGCTCCAGCTGTCTAAGCTTACTCCAGGGGGACAAGCCGGTCTGTGCCATTCTGCACTGCCCAACAACAAGCAAGAGGCCATAGCATTAATTAACAACAATTTCAGGACCAGACAGATTCAGCTAAGGTTGTATCAGCACTACCAGCACTCCTCACAAAAGAAGCTTCCTGTATCTATGAGGCATGCAAACTATAAAGACCAAGGGCACACCAGACACTATGTGGTACATAGTGCTGCTCGTTATTGCAACAACACAGGCTGGCATTTTAAAAGGCTGGAAAGCCACCAGCAGCCACTGGGAAGTCGGGGAATGACAATCCAGCCTTGCAATATTTCAGTCTCACTTTAACACTTTCTGTAATATCATATGTTACTTCCTGTTTCCTGTGGATATACACAGTTCAAGTGATATTAAGGTTCTGTTGTCAATGTAGATACAAGTATCTGCTTCCCCAACAGCCTTGTGTGATATGGTTTTGACCTGAAAAATTATTACTCCTGCAGTGTGTTAGTACTGAAGGGGAAAAAAACACCCATTGAGATCGATAGGATAATGAATTTGTGTGGATGAATGGAACTGTATCCTTGATCACCTGACAAGGTGATTTGATAACTGAATACCAAAGTGTTCCTCTCTAAAAAGAACACACCTCAAAATGAACACACTGGAGGAGAACTGGGAGAAAAGTGTGTAACATAGTGAGGAGGTAGGTCAGGCCAAGACAGAAGCAGCAGGTAACAAACAAACTAACTGCAGTGGGAATCACCATTTTAAACAGAAATTAGAGGGCAGCAACTCAATTGGGAAGACAGAGAAGATGGGGGGTCAATGAGCATGGGGGCAGGTTAGCTCCTGTATTCTCACCAAATGGGATTGTTGTTTTGAGCACAGAGAGGGAAACTAACTTGGAAAGATGGGGCAGAATAGTCTTTGCTCTCATCCAACACGGGGATAAATGAAAGGTCCAGGGAAAAGACAGCAGGTGTACACTGCTGTATGGAAAAGTAACTTGTAATAAATGTCAAGAATTGCTTACCTATCACCTCCATAGCACCTGCAGATTTCTAGGTGTGGAAGACAGGCTCATAACACAAATGGAGGCTCTGGGAGAAAAGCATTCCTCTCTCTTCACCAGAGTTTTGGTGAGGTTCCTGGCTGTCAAGAATTAGAGACACAGCCCTCGGCGTCCTCCTGCACCCTCTTCTACACCAGCCACATCCAAGACAGAGCACAGATCGATATTGGCATCCTGTATTAAAATCTTGTCCAGCTCATTAAGGCATGAACAGGTGGCTCAATAAACACTGCAGGTTTTATTTATTTTCTTTACTTTCTTATAAGACATCTTTGTAACATTTGTTTTAATACAGAATCACCTTGTAAAATATCTGGTGATCCCCATAAAAATTAACATTTCCACATCCACACATGACGATTCCTCTACCTCTATTTCCACAGATGGCAAGAATATCCAAGACTTTGAAACAACTCCAGCTGGAAGCATGAAGAGCAGGGATGGCAGAAAACCAGGAGGAAACACCACCTCTGCTGATTTCTGGATCACATCATTATAAATGGACAGAACCAAGTTTCAGGAGACTGCAGAGTGGGAGGTGGCATCATGATATATTGAACCCTTGGCAGCAAAAGGTAGTGTTAGAGAGCCCAGCCAACTGGGACAAAATAGAAGGCAGCGTGGAAAGGCAACTAACACAGTCTGTGCTGGGTTCTGGCAGGCACGTATTACTACCAAGTATCTTCCTGCGAGATGGAAGTGAGAACAAATTCTGACAGAAATAAGACCACCACACAGTTCTGTCACTTAGATCCTAGCAAGGAACTGAATAATGTGAACAAACCTTTCTGCGCTGCCATAACTTGGTTTGCAAGTGCAAATCACCCTTGTTGC